CCACGACGGTGGGTGCAGACTTTGAAGAGTCCCAATCTAGGATGAAACAGTTGTCCAGTACTCCCAGGTTTTCAAATGGTTCTGTAGCCGACGTCAGCTCATGATAAAGTCCTGTAAATTGAATGTTAATAAATATCTTGGATTGATTATTTCCTCTGATCTTTCTGATCATGTCAGTTTCTGGAAATATATTTTTTCATTGTTTTACGTAAGAAAGTTCAGACAATCTGGTTTCCCTCATTCAGCCTCTACTTTCACAGTTTGTTAATTCTTCTTTTCCACCTATCCCTCTCTATTGCTCCGTACAGCTTTATTTTTCTGGGGCTAATTAAGAAAGACTACTTTGTCAAACCGCTTAGAACACTAAAAGTTTTCAGTGAGGCGATTGTAGAGTCAACAAACCAACTTGGTAATGATGTTGTAGGTAAACGTATGATTTCATGAAAGAAATTAGCAGATAAATAGCAGTACTCGCAGGTTTTCCAGTGGTTCTCTAACCGATGTTAGCTCATGATGAAATCCCCATACAGTCAGACAAAATCAATACTTGAAAATTAATCTGATTCTCACTAGCGACTGGTCCTATTCAGGCAGTTAACTGAGGTTCTAGTGGGAAGCCATGACTAGTAGGGTACAGCAGCTTGAAGAGGAGGCAGTAACTCATCAAAGAAGACATTGCGAAATGTTCGTGCTATGTCGTGAATTTGCGAAAGTTAGAATTCAAGGACTTTGACACCATTTTCCAGTGGTTCAACGGTCTACGAGCTCGCCTCGTAGCCAGAAGGTCCTGGGTCTGAACCCCTGCTGCAGCGTCCCGAAATAGGCTGATGAGACTGGTGTACAGTGTTCCCAGGTTTTCAGGTGGTTTTCTAACTGACGATGATGAAGTCCTCCAAGCAGTCAAACAAAATCCCTACAAAACCAATACTTGAAAATATTATGTTGTTGGATTCTGGGCATTCTTTGTACACACACAGCTCTCTCTCTTTGCGTCTCATCATGTATTACTGGAAGCAACTATAGAAGACTTTATGTTGGAAGGACTAAGTATGAGAATTGTAAATATTTCATGCAATGAGAAAAGTATGTCAGACATGACACCACTGACTTACTGAGAAACATTACGGTAATGGCCCTTTTTATTCTTCCTCTCATTATTATAGTGTCGTCAATATTTCCAATTAAATTTTAAGTTTATCTTGACATTCTTACTGGACAATATTATCAATGTAAATTCCCTGTTAAATTATTTCACCCTGTATTATGCAAACAGGAAATTAGATGTAATAATGTTTTCTGCATGCTTAAAATTCTGTACTTGTATCAAAAGTACTGTTTTGAATAAAGCCATAATTGTCATTACTACTAAATAGATAATAGTAGTATCACGAAGGACTGTGAAAATTGATTAGATTTCTGATTTATGACCTCAAAACCCTGGGAAATTCAATTTCTTGAGTTTTATACCGCTTCCTCCGTCATCTCTGAGAATACCAGGCACTATCACACACTATATTGATTCTAAGAAATTTGAATGCAGGTCTAAGTGTGTACATACAGCATACAGCTTCTGTTCTTTCGATACAAATTTATGAAATGTCCCTTTTTCCTATTTGTTTAAACGTAGAGAAACCAATGGAAGGGATGATTCTACAGAAGTGCTCTTTAGGAACTTGGGAATTTGGGTCATGAAGTAATAACAAATTCACTTACCCAAGAAATTTCCTCTAATGAAACTTTGGTACAGATCAACCATTGCTGATTTGCTGATTTCCGTCCTCTCAGCTAGTTGGGTTCTCAGAAGAGAGGAAAGAAATGACCACGGATGTTTTGCGAATATTTGAGCATAAGTGTATTTATAGAGGCTTTAAATGTTTGATAGAGAGATAGTGCAGGCGATACGCAATCAGTTCTCATCTGCGCAGTTGGTTGGAAAGTGTATAAGTCATGCAGACCTGATACCTTCTTCGACCCAATTTGCTAATCAATGTAGGTTATTTAAGTGTTGGTTTGTAGGGATTTAATTGGTTTCAGGATTTCATCATGAGCTGACATTAGTTAGAGAACCATTGGAAAACCTGGGAGTACTGGATGGCTGTTTCGTCCTAGTTCGGGACTCTTCATCAGTACTCACCCACCGGGATTCGAACCCAGGACCTTCTGATTACAAGGCGAGCTCGTATACCATTGAGCCACTGGGACCCGATCCAATGGTCCTTGAATTCTAACTTCTGCCAATTCACGACATAGCGCGACCGCTAGCCAATGTCTTCGGCGAGTATTTGTCCTCACACCCGACCTGCTGCACCCTACTGGTCACGACTTCCCACTGGAACCCAGGTAACTACCTACCTGAATAGTGCCAGTCGCCAGTGAGCATCTCATTGGTATTTAAGTGTTGGTTGGTAGGGATTTGATTGGTTTCAGGATTTCATCATGAGCTGACATTAGTTAGAGAACTATTGGAAAACCTGGGAGTACTGGATAGCTGTTTCGTCCTAGTTCGGGACTCTTTATCAGTACGCACCCACCGGGATGTCAGCTCATGATGAAATCCTGAAACCAATATAGGTTAATTTAAGGAAAGCGGTGGGGATATTTCAGTCAAAACTAGGTATCATTCCAAGGAGTATTTGATCGTTTCTCTTTGTTGACTGCGTGAAGAGTAAATTAGATTATCTGGCTTAATCCTTAGGAAACACAACAAGAGAAACTGGTTTAACCGTTCATATGAACCGTGGTCATGATTTGACCGTCATTTACATTTAGAGGGGTTCCTTACCGTCAAACAGAAGGCACTGTTATGGGATCAGCATTGTCTCCACTAATCTGTTTATGCCCTCATTGGAAACAAATGAAATTATGAGATGCTCTGGTCCTCCAAAAATGTGGTAAGGATATGTGGACGATATCTCCGTCATGATCAAACGCAGTATGTCCAATAGTTTTTTTTTCACTTAATAAACAGTGTCAGTAACCATCAAGTTTTCCAAAGAGGTTGAATCAGATTTAGATCATGTGGCTTTCCTGGGGGTGTTTAGTTAAAAGATAATCAGATGGTTAACTTAAAATAAAGATTTTCAGGGAGCCGACGCATTCGGACAAATACCTAGACTGAAATTCAGCACATCCCCTTACCACCAAAGTAACTGTGTCGGAAAATTTGATTAACTGAGCCAATCGTCTAATTACTGAGGTGGAGGATATCAACAAGGGACTAGAATTGCTTCAAACCACTCTTAAATCAAATAATTATCCTCTAAGCCTTTATAAAAGGATATTTTAAATGTGAAGGTAAGGATGAATCAAAACTTGTTGTTAAGACTTGGTTTTGCACAGTGGTAATTCCTCACCACAAAGAAACATTGGAAGAAATAAAGCGAATCCTTAACGGTCAAGACAATATAAGAGTGTACGTTGGTGCGCTCATCACTGGTGAAGCTTGAGGATGAAATAGAAGAAGATAAACAATAAAATTGTGTGTACCGAATCAGATGTGGAGATTGTGAAATTGTATGTGTAGAAGAAACTTCCAGATAGGTAGATATAATCGTGGAGGAATATAAACAGTGTCTACTGGTGGTTCAAAAGACCTGAGCAGATTTGAAGAAGGCAGAAAACAAGTCGGCCATCGCACTGTATTCAATAGAAACGGGACACAAAATCAACTTTGATAGGGCTAAAGTTTTACAGAAATATTTTGGTTCGTATAGACAAAGACTGGCTACAGAGGCTTTGCAAATATTGGGGAGTCCCAACAGTTTGAAAGGACGTGAAGGTGTGATGTTTGCCAATGCACGATAGATCCTAATTAATAAATGAAAAATGGATACGTATCACTAATTAATCATACCCGATCTAAATTCCCGATTGTCTATACATTCTTGTGGAGAGACTAACGAGTGATTTACAATTGTTCCCTCATACACAAATGCACACAGACCATTCCATACCGCATATACATTTATACATTCTTCATATTCAATTATCTTCGACCATGAACTTTAGTAGAAAGTAACCACTAAACATCTAATGCAAAACTACACAGTGTTTCCCGTGTTTAACAAAAGTAGATTATTAATTGTAAGTCTGGGGTCACCTTTTGATCACAGTTCACGCAGTTTTGTTTATTACTTTTTATTTTTGTTTCATAGTTCCTTTGACTTGACAAAGTTTTTAAAGACAAGATGTTTCCTTTTTATATACCAGCTTTGTTATTCTAAGTTTGATTGATTTCTCTGAATAAATTCGGACCAATTTGCTGAACTCCGGAAACGTTGGAATTACTCATTTCAATTTCGCTGAAATTTTACAAATTTAATTTTTATATGGCGTCGGTGACATAGCAGTTAGAACGCTCGCTGACCATGCACATGGTCCGGGGTTCGATCCCCGGCCGACGCACCCCTTTACCTCCCTAAGCCATAAAAAATGCTGGTAAAGAGGAAAGGTTGGGCATGAGGCTAGCAACCTCATTCCGTACAAATAAATACTGCTACAGAAACTTCAAGCCACTAGCTTGAAGCCCTATGTTCCACTGGGAACGTGAAGGAAAAAAGTTTTTATATGAAAGCATGTGGGCAGTCTTGGAGCCAGCTGAAAACTCTAACAGAGAACCAAAGGCAATGGAGACGCGTGGTTGAAGCCCTATGTTCCTCTAGGAATAAAAAAGGAAATAATAATAATTTTTATACATGACTGGTTTAACAATCTTAATTAAATGCCTTGAAATGGCATACAGCAGTGCCAGTGAGTTCATGTTCTTATTATCCGCGGACCTTCGAAGACATTCGTAAATTTCCAACGAATTATGATCTGTTTCACTACATTAGTTATTTTTTTTCTACTTCATACTTACAATTTTTTACTTAAATGATTGTGCTTCCTCTGCAAACGTCTGTTAAGATACAAGGTAACATGCATTTATACTTTTTTTTATAACAATTTCTCCTCTTTATATAATACGCTATAAATTTAGTAAATAGACATTCTGGTTTACATTAAATTGTAGACTTTGCAGAAAATATATTGAAACTGTCAATTTCTTGAATCATGTTCTCATAATCCTTATCCAGTTTCTTCTGCATACTTTGAATTATCGTGGTTCTACTTGACGAATCTGTTTACGCAAATCACATAAATGCTGCAATAATCTTACCGACTTCACGCTGAAGCATATCATGCAAATCTTTTAATGAGATTCGATCACTTTCTTCCATAATTTCTTGTTTTGCGCTGTTCACAAATGGAAAATCATACTAAAAAATATTCGTATAAGTGAATTGTGACGGTATTTTAATTGTCATAGCTTACTATATTATAAAAATTTAAAAATTCATGAAGATCTTTGGGGAACCAGCCTTCCTTAGGTTGAATTTGCTTCAGTGACGTAAAGATATCTATGCCAGTGTCCTGTATATCCTCTAAACGGCCATTTTCATCGCCATTTATATCTTCCTCATGGTTGCTAGATGTTTGGTTATTGATTAAGAATTTTCTGAATTTCATTGAAGAGATGAAAACGGTAATTGAATACTCATCTATAATTTTAAAAACAAAATAAATTTCCCCGTGAGGCAAGTAGTTTCAGATCTTTATGGGCAATTCGTAGAGCCTTAACTAGAATCAGCAGAGATATGTTCACCTCCTTATATACATCTCTGGTGAGGTCAAGACTGGAAAACTGCATCCAGGCCCCAGTCCTTGTCTAAAAGGGACTCACATTCTAGAAAGTGTTCAAAGGAAGGCAACACGTATGGTTCACGGCATAGCTAACTTATCATACGAGGAAAGACTAAACAGTTTAAATCTCTTCTCACTGTCATACCGTAGGCAGAGAGGAGATTTAATCACAATGTTTAAAATTTTAAATAATGACTACGGACCTGACCTATTCTCTCTTTCCTTCGCACCGCGTCGGAACACCTTAGATGACATAGCAGGAGAGTTCAAAAGCCAAGAACAAATCATATTGCCGTTGAGTACGGGTTTTCACACCGAGTCATGAACTCTTGGAACAGACTCCAAGAAGAAGTGGTGTCTGCAACCTCAACTGATTCGTTCAAGAAGGGTTTGGACAACCACAGAAATCTACTAGAAAAGGATTAACATAGGCTCCAAGCCTTCTATCCTCAACCAAAACATCTGAATCTGAATATTTTCCCTTTTCTTATTTACCTAAGCAGAAACGTTTTGTGAATTAAAAGTCAGCGAAGGAAGCTTCTACAATAAAGACACTTTAGAGGTTCATCCGTTATTCTATCTAATCCTAGATAACTCTGAAGATATAAGAGAATTTGAAACGTTTTGATAAATTAAATTATTCGAGTTATTATCTTGAAATTATCTCCTGGAAATAAACTTCACCAGACGAAATCAGCTGTACAGATAATAATGGGTAAAAAGGAGAATATAAGGCGGGCTTCTTCGATTTCATTTTCCGTGTGTCTTAACAATAATAAATAATTTTTCCTTCACGTTCCTAGTGGAACATAGGGCTTCAGGCTAGTGACTTGAAGTTTCTGTAGCAGAGTTTATTTTTTACAGGATGGGGTTGCTAGCCTCATGCCCAACCTTTCCTCTTTACCAGCATTATTTCTGGCTCAGTGAGGTAAAGGAGTGCTTCCGCATTGCTGGCGATCGAATCCTGAACTATGTGCATGTTCGGCGAGCGTCCTAACCGCTGCGACACCGACGCACCTCCATATGTCTTAGATTGCCTTAATTGTTTCACTCCCCAGCTGGTCAGTAGTTACGGTATTCTCTAGTTACTGGATTCCAACCCATTGGCATAATGGTCAGATTTCTCGTCTTGTAAGCTGAAGGTTCCGAAATCGTTCTCTGGTAGAGTAATGTGTGTGCCTTTGCAAAGTTTTGCACCCTAAGACAGTGCTCTGTGATTCTCGCTGATTCTCTAACTAGTATAAATTCGGGACGAAATCCACAGTGAAATATAACTAGCCGTATGATTTAATTTACTTTCGGGTATCACGATCAAATGAGGTGCCATCAGATCTTCACTGTGTACTCAAAACTGTTAAATTCTTACGGTTGCAGCCATTGTTCATACTCTTTTAGTTTTTAAAGACAATCTCATTTCAGGGTATGTTGTTTTCACTCAGTATTACACGAACTTGTAAAGTATTCGTAAAAGCATGTTGATTTATCTGAACCAACTGTCAAACTCACCATAAATTGATAGTACATCTCTTTTTGGCCACCTCTAACTTGTTTCCAGCCTAATCTTAGAGAAGCTAATAATTAGGAACGAAGAAATCGCTGCATAGAATGCGTAAAATCGAAAGTTTTGATTTACATGCCTGAAAAATCTCATTTAAAGTGGTTATGACTATTAGATATTCATTTTAAATTCCGTCTTCAAAAGCTGCAGATTGTCCACCCACTAATCTGTTCAAACTTAATTATTTATTTTACAGAAACATAAGCGAACTACTTGGTAACTTGTCTACGGTACATTATTAAATAGACACTATAAGAGATTAAGAGAGAGGAAATATTCACCAACTAAATAGTTGCTAGAGTTTGAATTCGCCCGATTGCGAGACCCTCTTCCTCAAATTAGAATCACATATTTTCATTTCGCAAGCATGAATCGGTGCATCATCTGTCCTTCACTGAATGATCATAAAAATTTGATAACTAGCCGTATATTAGCTCACTAGTTCGTAGGCTATACTACATCAAAGTTATTCATCTCGCTAAATCACAGCGGTCAACATAGAACTCACTAAAAAATACGTGGATGATTTATCGAGGATTTTCGAAGACAAATAAGGACCTTTCAGCATGCAGTAAACATCAACCACAGTTTACTGGTATACATTTAGTCATAATGCACAGTTTTCTAATACAGCGCATCATGTGATTGAAATCTGACACATAGAAACAGAAACTTTCAGTAACAAATAACGCTAATTAAGCACAAATGGTTTAGTAGATATTCACATATATGAGGGATTGTGGAACAATAACTCATTGATTAAAAAATCGGAAACACTTATAATAACGAAGAATTTTAAATTTCTTTGCATCATTTGCTGGCATTGTAGCTGCTTGAGGGTGCAAAGTCACATCAGTTTATAGTGATTGACGATGTAACATAATCTTTGATGCTTACTATGACTCGGTTACTTTATTGTCAGAAAAGAGATTCATATGCTTTTGAATATGTTGGACAAAGTGTGGATGTTATCTGAGCGACATTTATACGTTAAACCTAGTTGTTTGCCCCCATTTACTGAAAGAGGTACAAGACATGATAACCATTTTATCTGTATTTAAAGCTACGACAGTCTAAATTAATAGGGTCTGAAATAATAATAAGTCCAAAAGGTCTACGAGGAACAGCACTTTGTTTTATTCAAATGGTAATCTGCTGTCTTTATAATGTCTAAAAGTTGCTTTTGTTGAGGTCGCTGAAATTATAAGGTACCATGTAATGTGCGTCGGTGGCACAGTGGTTATGACTCTCGCCGACCACGCACATGGTCCGGGGTTCGAGCCCGCACCGACGCACATCTGATATCTATGGTCGGCCTGCAAAATTTGGGCTACCGATATCCATGCTGAAAATTCCATACTTGTGCCGGAAATGCAGTGTAGAATCAAGCTTTTAATCAAAAAAAAATAGACTAGCGTTTTTATAACACTGCGCTTCCCAGCTAGCAGTGATTTTGATCACAATGCAGAATGTTTGGAACAGGCTTGAAAGCCCTGCCCCATCGGACGTGTACGTTCTTCTGTGAGTGCGAAAGCTTCTGCCCCAACGATTTTGCTGTGCACCCAAATAAAATGCTAGCTGGGGCTCTTATATATACATATATATAGTAAATTTAAAATGTAGTCATTAATGCCAGCTGTTACAAATCTGAGGGAGATTCCCTGGTGTTTAAGAGTAGTTTTCAGGTTTAAATACACTTTCCTTGGGTTTTCTCCCTTGAAGAGCCCAGAGGATTTTACTTTAAACTGCGCAGCGCTGGCTAGAATGTATGCTGTTCTCGAAAGTTAAAGTACATGAATTTGAGCTGATAGGAGACAAAACCAAACAATCTCTTTAGTCATCTGTTGTTTGACTTAGCTACATCAAAGCGTCTGAGTACATTTTATGAAATTATCGACTACATAAGTTGCAATTTGTTCCACCGCCATTTGGTTGCCATGACTGCCGCGCTTGACTATTTAAACAATTGTGTGGCTAAATGGATAAGTAGATAACTTTTAACTCCCGAGGTTGATATTTTTCCAGAAACTCCGACGAATCTTAACTTCGAAATTCCATCAATTTTTTTGTGCAACCGTTTCATTTCTTTTGGATATTTGTCCCCTTTCAATACTCAATGTACATTTTCCAATATCCCATATTGATGTTGCGACCAAGTGTAAGCCAATTTGATTAATTTGTACTCGCTTCTTGACTGTGAGGTAAAGTTTCCCGGTCTTCAGTAAACATCTGTGTAGTTCTTCCAGCCAAACGACTGTCGTAGCTTTGGTTGGTGCTGGGACTAATTATGTGTTGTTTATGGAATGCGGTGTGTTAGGGCTTTGTTGCTACTATGAATAGATCCTTCCACCAGTTAGTGTTCTGGTTTCATCGTCAAAAGAAAAGAGAAGATAATAATAAAACATATAATTAGTGTAGGCTATTCAGACTAAAAGACAGAAAAAGAAATAAAGAAAACGTAAAACCAGGCAGATAATGAAATTTAAAGGTGGTATATATGTATATAATATCAATAATAATAAACGTAAGTGTAGTAGTTGGAGTGGTCAGGAGAGTAAAACAGGAGAAAATGTGAAAAAGTAAAACGATGAATTGAGATGTCTACCCATTAGTGGAATGTGGAATTTTAAGGGGACAGGCCATTAGAACGTAGTCCTTGTGTAACTGCCTTCCTTTAAAGCTGTCCGCAGACGGTGTCATAGCTACCTATGCCAGTAAGGAGTTCCACGAACGGCACACACGCAGTGAAATGAAGTGGGAGAGCACTCGAGCCTTTTACCTCTGGAGATCCAGTCTTCTGGGTCTTCCACCAGGAAGCTCAAACCTACTTAATGGCAGAGTACATTTGATTGGATGATGCTGGTCATTCGTTATCTTATAGGCAGTAATCGAGTTCCCAATAAGCCGGCGGTAGCTAAGTGTGAAGAGAGCTAATTTCTTTAGCCGTTCATCAATGGTTTGTTTTGGGGACCCATCACTCCTTTTGTCGCCCGTCTTTGAACTCTTTTCAAAAGGTTTACGTCCATTCTAAGCAATGGGTTGCTGTGATGTTGTGCACTTCAAGGTGTGGTTTGACTTATGTTTTGTACAGCCTTAGAAAGAGCTCAGGAGTGAGTGCACCTAACTGTCAATGTGTAAAGTGTGTGACCACATATGCGCTTGTTACGTCCCCCCGTGTAATTTACGGTTGTGCCAATTTTTCCTTCAGAACTAGACCTAAGTAAACCTCCAACGTTGTGCAGGACATACCTTCGTCGCACAGGGTATGACTTGCATTCTGCAGCCTACTTGTGCGTAATTGCACTACACTGCAATTTTTCAAGCTGAAAGTCATACCATTAGCCAACTCCCAGTCTCCCAGAAGTCGTAAGTCTGCCTACAGTCTACCTGAGCCTCACAAACACTTTATTGTTCTTCACATCTCTACGTTATCAGTGTAAAGGGGAGTTAGTCAGCTTAGACAGCATGCTAGGTTATTGATAAAAAACATCAGTGGTCCTGAGATAGAGCCCTGGTGACTGGTTGTGCCAAGACGATTGGATTAGGTTAAATTTAGCGCAGAATATCCTTTCAACTAGGTAGTCCCTCAGCCATGACAGAAGCGCCCCACCTATACCTGCCTGACTTATTTTGTGTAAGAGAAGGTCTTGTTGAACCGTGTCAAATGCCTCCTCAAGGTCCAGGAAGACCATGTGGATTGGAATATTCATATTCCGTCATGATATCCAATCTTCCCAAGCTGATAGTAGGTTTGTTACGCAGGATCTGCCTTCCCTGAAACCGTGTCAGGCTTCATGAAGTCTCTCAGTCCTATTGAGGTGCTCCGTGATGTGATCATCAATAATACTTTCCAGTACTTTTGATGCCAGTGGGAGTAGGGCTACTGGTCTATAACTGGTGGCATTTCGCCTATCCCCACCCTTGAAAACGCAGAAAGAATGGGTATTTTTCACTCCCTTGGCAGTTTCCCTGGATCCACTGAGTGTTGGAATAAGTCGCGTAAGGGCCTACAGAGAGCTTCGGTGAAGTGTTTCAGAACACATGGCCTAACTTCGTCACAACTCTTCAGAGGTGAGTCTGTGTGGCTTCCCTAGTACCAATGTTGGGTTTATCCGAGGAGTAGCCACTAGGTTTTCCTCCAGTGAAGTAGGATTGCCGCCATTTTAGCCCTTGTCAGTAATACCCACACTGCTGTTTAACTGTTTGGCAACGGCTAAACTGAATGTTTCAGCCATCTCCAGGCCAGTGAGGCACTGACCTATGGACCTACTAAGGCACATACTTCCTGGTTGGTTGGTTTTTTCTCTGACATGAATCATTACTTGCTTTTGGCGTTCGCCGGGAGTTTTATGGCAAAAATAGCCTGAAATGACCTCCTGTCACTCCTTACTCTCGCACTGCACCTTTCAATGTAATTGAAAATTGAACGATCAATTCATGGTTGTTCACTCAAACCCAACTCCTCCATATTTTTCGCGGGTCATCAACCCGACAGTCATCGTCTCATCGTTCGCTGTTCAGAGGAAGATTAAAAACTATCAGGAGTAATATCATGATTTATTGTTATAACATTTATTCTTAGACCGTGTGTAATAACATTATTGTTGGTTATATGTCGGCATGAGAAAAAAGGATTCTTGAGTCGCCAATCAGTGTTCTAGTTTTCACGTTGGTTAACACTAAGCGTTTCTGAAAGTCTTCGAGGGACAGCGTGAGGTCCAATGTAGCAGCGGCTGGACATTTACAGTTTATGAGACTTGGCTGACAGCACCGGTTATTGATTTCCAGGTTCTTATTTTGGTTGGTCTGACTCTTAGATATTCGCCACGTAGACCAGCCCTTCCGCTTTGCTTGCAGAATACTGTTGTCATCAAAGTCTCATAAACCGTTAATGCCCAGCTCTCGCTACGCTCGGGCCCACGCTGTTCTTAGAAGATTTCTGAGAAACGCTTAGTAACAACGGACGAAAAAACCAGAACACCAATTGTTGACTTGAGTATTATGTATTGTTACACCAGCATATAAATCAAGTATCACTAAGCAAACTAAGAAAACTAAGGTCTGTAAACAAATATTACAATAATAAATCGTTATGTTACTTCTGACGATATTTAACTCTTCTTTCTGAACAGCGACCGATGAGACGATGACTGTCGTATTGATGCCTCCGCGAAAATCGAGGAAGTTGATTTTGAGCAAACAACCAAGAATTGATCGTTCAATCTTCAACTCCATTGACACTCCCCGGCAAAAAAGGGATCCAACCCTTTTTTCCTTCACGACCAATGCACGTCGACTTGGATACCATTGCGAGAACCTGGGTCACACGGACAGAGCTGAAATGGAAAACAAACAGAAAAGCCAACACACCACAAGCATACCCACAGCACAATCTCACACATCGCTGACGACCTGCGCCTCCAGACAGAGACCTCCTCTTGACATCTTGCAACACAATCGCCACTTACTAGAATGACTCTTGCAGAATGCAACGTGACCATAGCAGCACCTCATGATACTCTTCAAGCATCCTCTTTTCTATTCACTATCAATTATCACTGAAATCGCTTGTCACTCATTCTGCCTCAGTTCTAGTAGCGGTGACGCATGCGAGCCTCAGTCGTTTACACTCTTTCTCCCCGGCGTGTCGGACCGCAGCTAACAATTATCTCCGTGTGCATTTCATTCTCAGCAATAGCCTAGCCTCCCCGGCGTATACGACCCATCTGCTGTCCTTAACATCAATCAATTCATTCACGGATGTAGAAGAGTGGCCACAACTTCAGAAGTAATCACGACGAAAATTTTAACAAAATTATGCAATAACAACAAGGTACGAAAACAACGAGTAAACACAATGAATTCAAATAACACCAATTGATATGACACACCAAACGTATATACAAACAGTACACACAAACTCGCATTTCATGTCTTGATGGAATACCCTTGAAGAATTGCAGGACTTACACCAGTACGCCTACAACCCTTCACAGGTTGACGATTGTAAGTTGTGGAATGTCCAGACACAAACAAGATTAACCAACAATTACATCAATTGGAACTCACACAACTATTTAACACAAACATATGTACAATCAACACATCAAATGTTGTGGATCCTGACACGACAAACTACCCTTGAAGAACTGTAGGACTTACAGCAGTACGCCTACATTCCTTCTCAGGTTGATGATCCAAGTGAAAGTCGTCCGGACACAAACAGAATTACCAACAGCTAGATGATAAATGATATCAATTCAGTATATACAATATGAACATATGTACAAGATCATACACCAAGCACATTGGACTGCTCATTGATGCGCTACCCTTTGAAGAACTGTAGGACTTACAGCAGTACGCCTACAACCCTTCTCAGGTTGACGCCCTAGGTTGGAAAATCGTCGCAGAGTTCATTTGCTAACTTCCTTCTATCAGCTATATCCTCAAATCTGAACGGCAACACGCCCATGTCATTGTATCGTAGAATGTAGATGACCAACAAACACACGACATATCTCATCAACCAAGTATAGAAACAGAGTAATTTACACCAAAGATAATAACATTCAAATAGTAACTTGAAACTAGAAATGCCTTTATTCGTGCAAGTCAATTTAACAATTACTCTCTCGTTTACATTTGGCTTATTCTCACTAAACTGAGCAATATCTTTCGTCTTTTCAAACGCACCAATACTATCATAGTCATTGCACAAGATACTTGAGTTGATGGGTGTCTTTTTCATTGTGGATGACAGCACCAACGACGACTGATTGATATCAGTTGATGAAGTTAGCGGTGGATCAAAAGCTGTTGTTGCTCGGCTTTCAGAAATTTGTCTACCTATAAGACCACCACCACTGCTGTCTTTTACTATCAGCTCAGGTTTAGAAATAGCATCTGATGATAGGTGGGCTACACG